AGCAGCAACAACACATAATCTCCAACATTGAAGTGTCTCTGTTTGCTCTTCTTGTCATAGTATGTCTTCTGGTAGTGTTGACTCTTCTTGAGGTTCTCGTGTGCCAACTGACAGGTTTCCTGAAGCCTGTTCTTGAGATCAAATAAATATTCATAAGTTGACCTAACATGTGGCTCTTCTACTTCGCCTGTCCATAATTCCTTTAAAATACACATAGGCCCTCTGACCGTTCTCCCATAAAGCAATTCGAAAGGGGAAAACTCCAGACTTGCCTGAGGTACCTCGCGGTATGCAAACAACAAGGCTGAAATGTTCCTGTCCCAGTCCCTGGGCCTCTCAGCACTCATTCTACGTAACATCTGCTTAAGAGTACCGTTGAACCTTTCAACTAAGCCGTTACATGCCGGGTGGTAAGGTGTGGTTGTCATTTGTTTAATCGACAAGAGCCGACTGAACTCCCGCATCAAGCCCGACATAAATTGAGAGCCCTGATCGCTTAGTATTTCTCTAGGGACCCCTACTCTGGAAAATATATCAACCAATGCTTCCGCAACGGTAGTTGTTTCTACAGAGCGGAGAGGAACAGCCTCTGGATATCTAGTGGCATAATCAACAATGGTCAAAATAAATCTGTTACCTTTGTCGGTCGGCAGATGTATAGGCCCAATGATATCTACTGCGATGCGTTCGAATGGTGTCTCAATCAGAGGAAGAGACCCCAAAGGTAACTTCTCCACCTTCCCCTTTGGAAATGTCCGTTGACAAATGTCACATGACTGGACAAACCGCTTGATGGCCGACTGTATTCCAGGCCAGAAAAAGTTGGTCATGACGCGATCACAGGTTTTTCGAGCACCCAGGTGTCCTCCTACAAGGGACTCGTGGGCAAGCCTCATCACCTGTTTTCTGTACCTAGTGGGAACAACAATCTGTAAAAACATATTGTTATTATCAACCTTAGGTGACTGAAATTCCCTGTATAAAATGCCCTTTCGCCAGACAAAACGAGACATGTGAGCATCCTCAGCATCAGATTGAGGTTTGTCAGCAGATTCCGTGCAACGCTGTAGTGATGAATCTGTTTCTTGCTCCGCTTTGAAACTCTCAGTAGTAACAACATCCGAAAGAAATTTTGGGCCCTTCAAACCTGGTACTGGATGCTTTTCTGCAAGTTTCTGCGCACGTGTTTGCACAGCACCGGTTATCTCAAGGTCATTCACTTCTTTACCTGGCAATGAAGAAACTACAGTACTAGAGTAAGTACCACTGAACCAGTGGGGATCGGGATCAGATGGATCTCGGACCCCAGGAATATTTCCTAGTATGATATCATATACTGGGTGTTTCATACACAGTGCCTGTACTGATCCCTTGTAAAATGGAGTGTCTATATCAACTCTAACAGTTGGGACCTTCCTAATGGTTCCATCGATGAGAACACACACCCTCTCTTCACCAGTAAAGGCGTTGTCGGGAACTAAGTCCCTGCAGACCACAACACCACTACATCCACTATCCCTCAATACTGAGACCTTATGCTTCCCAATTAAACCCTCCTGCACTGGCATTTTTGAGAAATGGTGATCCCTACAAGCAGCACTCATTATAGGTAACTGGTGACCGCATTTTAATGTGACATGATCATCTTCACGACAACAGCTATTCAAAGTACGAGTGACCATGAATGCTACTGTTTCTTTTGTGTCAGGCTTATGGCAAGTACAGCCACAGGCCTCCTTAACGGATGCAGACTGTTCCGTGGACTCACCTTCATTCAAGGATGGGGTGGCATCACTTCGTACAACCATACTCGATGCTTTTAACGGTGGTTTGGCTCGATGGTAGCAGTCACGGGCAATATGCCCCTTCTCATGACAGATGTAGCATGTCTTCACTTGCTGGAGTTGTATGAAAGTGGGGCAGTCCTTCACAGACGTAGACTTGAAAGAATCCGGCTTGCGAGTTTGTGGTTGCTTGTTGGCTCTATCTGACTGCAAAAACTGGCCAAACGTTGTACCTCTAGCCTCGATAAACTGTTCAGCAAGTTTCGCCATGCTTTCCAAATCCTTCGGTTTACGTTCCTTCAAAAATACAGAGAGTTCTGGACCACAACCATGAATGAACTGTTCCCGGAGCATGAGATTTTTAAGCCCTACAAAATCTTTATCAATTTTAGCCAAGTCAACCCATCGATCAAAATTATGTTCAAGACGAACAGCATACTGGAGTGGACCTTCTATCTTGTCTGGACGACATTGCCTAAATTTTGCTCGGAAGCCATCTTCCGTTAGATTGTACTGTTTGAACAAGGCAATTTTGAGTTGGTCATAATCATCGGCATGTTGTTCAGGAATTCTGTTGTAAACATACAATGCCTTACCTGATAGGAGAGCAGACAAACTGATCGCCCAGTTTTTCTTTGGCCAACCTTGACTCTGTGCATACCTTTCAAAGCGCTGCAGATAAGCATCCAAGTCATTTTTGTCATCCTGAAATTTAGGTAACTTTGGAACCTTGGCAACAGTTTTAGTTTCAGTTGCTGGTTTGGATTCTTTTGCCTCTTTCATTTCTAGTTCCTTAACTCGTAATTGGGTTTCAAGAACTTCTCTCTCCGACCTTGCCAACTCTAACTTTTGAGCTCTATCATCTCTCTAAACCTTCTCTCTTCCTCTCACAAACTCCATCAAGTCACTACCTGACAATCCCAAGTCTTTCCCAACTTCTACCCATTTAGCCATTGTTGTCTGTGGCAGTTGTTCTGTACCAAGCACCAAGAGGCACAAAAGGGGAACCCAGCGTACGTGATATGACCTTGGGTGTGGTGACAAACGGCAAGCAAGCGACATCAGCCCTGCCAATTAAAGAAAAATCTCAAACTGGTGATAGCTTCCATACATGTACACAAATATCATGACATACTGCTATAATAAATGCAGCAACGTACAGCTAAAACCACCTTACATGTAACTAACACTGAATGTCCTCGTTTAGTGTTTTCGATTCCCGGACAAGCCCCCAAAAATGTGAGAACTAAATCAGTGCAAAGCCAAACACACAAATTTATCTTAATAAAATAATTTATTACCTATTTACAGTCCCGAGGTTCAGCCTCTCATAGTTTTGTACAGTTCCTCAAATGAGGATATTCATTA